ATCTATCTATCTATCTATCTATCTATCTATCTATCTATCTATCTATCATCTATAATCTATATAGAGAGAGACTTCCATAGCACCAGCAAAAATATTTGTTCCATTCTGTTATTTTAAAGTTATTTGCAGTCTCTCTCTGTCTCTCTGTGTGTGTCTCTCTGTCTCTGTCTCCCTCTCTCTCTTTCTCTCTTTCTCTTTCTGTCTGTCTCTCTGTCCCTCCCACCCTCTCTTTCTCTCTTTCTCTCTAATATGGAATGCTATTCATCAGTTCTAATGTCTAACAGCTTTTATTCAATTGAAACATGCAAGTCCTAATCAACAAGGTTTAGATGTTAAAGCAACCAGCCTCAAGAAATATGTCACACAATTTGCTGTCAAACTAATTAATTAGATAACATTATTGGCTGTCCCCAGTGATCTGTAATGTGCTCAGTGTCTGTTCCTAGCTTCAATTTTATGTTATGTTTTTTAATTCTATACTTTCATTAAAAAAAATCCTGTATTTTACATGTCAAATAAAAAGACGGGATAATTGATAATCCGCTCACTTGTAAAAGAGCAGCTAGACCGTCTAAGATGACTTTATAAGTTGAGGCAAAGCTTTGACATCTATTAAGGTCATTTTCCTTTGAAATGTTCAAGGGTCGTTCTTCAAAAGTAATTATAGTCCAGTAATTATCTTGCCATTTCCTATCAAATATATGGACATGTTTTATGGTACATTTCATATTATTTTAGACGTATTTAAATTTAGGGGAAAAAGGCTTGTAAAATAACTTTGATTTCATTCATTATTATTCCACTCTATACACATGGTTGTAAAGATGATCCTAAGACTTTGCGTAGTATGACGTTATCTTAATTCATCTTAATTTATTTATTTTTAAAATGAGGTTAATTGAAGAGAAATCTGAAATTGCTTGTCAGACAATAATGCATAATCATAATTTGTTAGGGTCTTAATTCTCATATGACTGGGAAGATATATACGGTGGTGAGATCTAAGACAAAACGGATTTTAGTTGCTGAAAAAATGACCTCGGAGACACTTGGTCTTCTACAGAAGATTATTTCAGAGGAAGGAGGTGAAATAGACTTCTCTAAATGTGTACATGTGTAAAATTAAATCTTTTATCAGAATAGTGGAGTTGGAAGGGATCTTTGAGGTCTTCTAGTCCAACCCCATGCTCAAGCAGGAGACCCCATATTTTTTCAGACAAGTGGCTCTCCAATCTTTTCTTCAAAACCTCCAGTGATGGAGCACCCACAAGTTCTAGAGGCAATCCATTCTGCTGATAAATTGTTCTGACAATAAATTTCTCCTTATTTCTATATTAATCTTCTCCTTGATTAGTTTCCATCCATTGCTTCTTGTTCTGTCTTTGGGTGCTTTGGAGAGTAACATGTTCTCCTCTTTGTGTGTGTGTGTATAATAGCCCCTCAAATATTAAAACGCTGCTATCATGTAGCCTCTAGTCCAATGGTGGCTAACCTTTTTTGGTTCCTGTGCCAAAAATTGTGAACGCGCTTGCATGCTCGCACTCGCCTGCCAGCACCCAGAAGCCAATGCGTGCCCCCCCACGCCCCCTCTGCATGCGCACGCAATCCCTA